ATGTTTACCTCTCCTGAAAAATCTGCAGGAGCAGGCAAAATACATACCTCCATGCAGTCATCCACAACATGATGTCAAATTTCCATTATATCCTCATTTCAAATCTTAGCTAAAAGAATATATCTCTTTTTTCTCTCTCTCTCTGGTTTAAATTGACTGCTATTATCTAACTCTGGGAAAGGAACTTTTACAAAGGATGATATATAAAGGGGAACTGTCATAAATTGTTAATAACATGGATGATGAAAACTATTTTAAATACCTTTCTTAGATCACATGGATTATAACCATATTACCCTTTCCTTCCTTCATATATTCTCTTAAAAAAAAAAAGCTTCTAAACCCAATTTATTCTCTTGAATGATATAGAAATACAAAGAAATTAATTATTCTACCCATATGTAGCATACTTTATGCTACAGATATCAACAATCTATTACTTAACCTTATAAAACAATCAAAACCCAATTTATTTTCAATGGCAAGCTCACTCTTCATTTTACTGATTTTTAACTTATTTCACGTACTGTTTTTGTTAATTTTCAATCTGAGCTGTTCTTGTACAGTTGAATGGAATAGACATGACTCATTTGGACATCTTCTCATCTGACCTTTCTTCTAATCAAAGGAATGATCTCTCAGGATAATTTTTGTTTCAGTCAAAATTACAAGATGGATTGATTATTTAAAAATCCTGATCACTTCATAGAGATCTTAAAAATAGAATACATTTGAAAAAAAAAGGTAAATTCCTGCTTTCATTCAAGTCAACAGTGAAACCCCAATAAATATCACTAAATATGTCATACCATAGTCCCTGAGGCCAAAGTAATGGTCATCTTGATTTCTCTGTGGCTTAGAGGTAGGAAAAGTTTACTGATAGCTTCAAGAACACACTGAAGCTAATTCAAGAAATTACTCACTAAGAAACTAAATAAACATTACAAAAAAATAATTAGATTCAGAATCTCAGAGTACCAAAGAAGAATATAGTGCCGTCCTTTAAACCAGTCATCTTACGCTGGTTGTTTATTCAATAGAGAAAAAAAATCTGTTAATTTAGATATTCTATTCACCTTATTCTAAAGATTTGAATTATTTTGAAAAACTAACCTTATTTCTGTTCCTAAAGGAAAGCTATGGGGACTAGCTCAAATGAACATGCTTCAATGGGACAGCTAGTGAAAATCGCCTAGGAGATGTCAGAGCAGGTATCCTGGAAATCATATACAAAACCAATACCTCAGTGTTCCATCCCTTTTAATAGAGAAATGTCACAGAATCAGAAAACAAAAACAAAAACAAAAAAACAACAAAAACTAAAAAAAAAAGACACAGAAAGTTTTAAGAATAGACTTTGGTTACACATAATAGTGTCCCTATTTCAATCTAAAAATATTTATATTAATGTATTATCTTATATGCATCCAGGAGTACTTTATGAGTTCAGGTAAGAAGACCTTGAGTTGTTGGGAAGAAATTCTTACTAAAATAGCCACTATTTTTTGCTTTAGAAGCTGTATCTAGATTTAAACCTTTACTTTGACAAGGACCTTCAGGAAAAATTACTGGAACATTAATCATGGGTTAGGAGACAAAAGGTTGTCATGAATCAAAATCTGACTAACAGGCAGGAAACAAAATGATTAAACAAACAGTCTGTGACCCTTTGCAAAAGCAAGTCAATAGTAAGGTACCTTGATGCTACTCTGTGTTAAGCCCCTTACTATTTTAATATATTTCCTTCAGTTTTGAAAGAGAAGTGAGCTATGGAATTGAAAAATCCACATGACACAAAATATCAGAGGTTGATCAAATTCAGAAGAAAAGATAATGCCCTGCACACCAAGTTGGGTGAACAGGAAATGATGCAACTTCAAATTCTGTAAAAATACTTGCAGCACAATGAGCATTGGAGAAAAGAAATAACTGAACTAAGATCTACAGTCTTAACTATTCAGACTATAACTTTCATTGCATACTTTAGAAAAAGAACTCATACAAAGACTAAGGCTTTATGCACATCTGTAATCAGTAAGATACAAAGTCAATTGGAAGAAATGGATAATATTAAGAAGTTAAGTATATGGACAAGTTGAAACGTAATGGCCAAACCCAAAAGGTAATACCTGTAAAGTCATTTTAAAAAATACATGCACAACTAGCAATAATTCACAGAGGACAATAACATGAAACTAGGGACAAGGAAAAACTCATCAATTAAGATTGATAAGAGAGACAGAAGAGACAATTATTTTCTGAATGAGTTTTAAAGGCAAGGAGGCACCAGAGAAGTATTCAAAACAAAGGTAAGCCAGGGAAGGTAGAAAAACTTTTCCCTTCTTTATCCTATATCAGAGAGGAAATGTATTAAACTTCAAGATATTCCATGAAATTTGCAACTATCTCATTTCAAGAGAGTAAATGAAAGCACTGTATTCTTATTGATAAGTGATAGAGGCTATGCTCAGTATTCAAAAAGACTCAGAGTGGAATTTCATCTTCATATGATGAAAAGTTATATAACTAATGCTAAAAATTTTTGTGGAATCTCAATTATCAGGATCCACATATTTAACCAAGGTCATACTATCTAGGATTAGGAGATCTTCTTAGGAATTTTCTTATTTACTACACAGATTCTGATCCTGATAACTAACTGTCAGAAAAAGGCCACTGGAAAGAGATTTTGATCCATCACTTCAATATTACTATATAATGTCTTCTGAAAAAGGATACTGCAGAGATAAACCAGACTGTGTATGGTAGCACTGGTTAAACACTGTGTTAGCTCTGTTTTCTAATTTCAAGGGCTATCCAAATTTATGGAGATTGTTTCATAGTCAGAATCTAGGGCAAAAAAACCTTCAAATAGCAATTTCCCCCTTTTGAATTCAGTCTTGCAGCACTGGCCTAACTCTCCAAACACCTCTTAAATTTCATCACTGGTGCTTATTTGGCTGGATATCAAGACAAATTAGTGACTTAGAATTGTGGAGATCTGTTGAGAGCTTTTGATTTTAGGGCAGAGCCAATTATTGCTGAGCGTACCGCTCCAGCTCTGACAAGAGGGTTAAGTGGCTTGATTCATATTCGCATTTATACAGCACTCATACACAAAAACATAAGTAGTGGAAAACAACTGGCAGGGACAGGGAGAAAGGTCGTGTATGTCTCCCAGTTTTTTACACTACTCATCAGATGAAGCAAATTCCTAGCGTGTGCACACATGAGCACAAGTAGCATAAAGATGGTCCTTTTGCTTTTTTAGGCACATTGCTATATCAGTGACTGGGACTTGGGGCTTCACAGGTCTGGTCTTGTTAACTCTGCCAGATTTACAGACCTCTAACACTTTTCATCACACATGACTTTTACTATTAATAAATTCCTATGTATGAAAACTGCTAATTATGCAATTAATTGATCATTTCCACTTCAGCCCTTTTGAAAGGCTGTTAAATTAAGGATAGATATGGAGATGGAGGGAGTGGAAGATAAAGCAAAATTCATTGTATTTTAAATAAAAATATATTCAACTGATTGTATGGGTCTTTTAATTTCTTTTTATTTTATACAAATATCTCTCATTGAATAATGATTTTGTTTCTTACACTGTGATTATTTTCTAACCCATTGTATATTACATTTGCCAGCACAGCATAGTAAACAGAATCACAGAATCAACTAAGTTGGAAAAGACCTCTGAGATCATCAAGTCTAACCTATGACCTAACACCACCTTGTCAAATAGACCATGGCACTAAGTGCTCTTTTCTTAAAGAGCTCCATGGATGATGACTCTACCACCTCCCTGGGCAGCCATTCCAATGCTCAACCAATGCTTCTGTGAAGAACTTCTTCCTAATGTCCAACCTAAAACTTCACTGGCACAGCTTGAGACTCTGTCCTCTTGTCCTGTTGTTCACTGCCTGGGAGAAGAAGCAGATACCCACATGGCTATAACTTTGTTTCACAGAGTTGTACAGAGTGATAAGGTATCCCATGAGCCTCCTCCTCTCCAGGCTAAACAAACCCAGCTCCCTTAGCCACGCAATTCAGTTTTGTGTTTGTTTTTTTTTTTAAAGAAGTCCCATTATTACCCAAGTAAGCCCATCAATTAGATTTTTTCATGAATCCAGGTAGGATCTTCTTCAAGTTTTTCTTTGCTCTGTAAGTATGAATGCAAAATTTTGCAAGGCTTGAGAGAAAAGACTTCACTCAATCAAAGTTCCTCAGGAAGGCATAGTCCCTAGTGTATTTGCCTTTTTTTCCCTCCTCACCGTTTATCCTGTATCTTATGTCTGGCACTCGAGAAGGCAAATATTTTTTAGAGCTTCTAAAACACCTCAGGCTGTGCCTACAGCTACAGATATGTAACCATATGGTTCCTTAATTACTTAAATCACTATGTAAGGCCTGTGTGCTAACGTTCAAGATACATTTCACTCTGGTGTTAGCCCAAGGGGACCCATCTGATAGACAGACCTCGTGACTTTGGCATTACTTGTTTTGCTGCTGTAGCATTTCCTTGGCAATTCTCTCAAACTATAAGGGTCATTTCTCAGATATCTACTGACTAAAAACTGTGGAGCCTTCTTGCTTGAAAACCTGATTGTATTGTTATTGCTTACTTTGTATGCCTGTATTTTTTCCTTTCTGAAGTTTTGCAGATGATATAAAGCTGGGAAGCTACCATCCAGAAGGACCTTTAGATGCTTGGAGAAATGGGCCAAATGGAACTTCATAAAGTTCAGCAAAGCAAATACCAAGCCCTGCATCTGCACAGCAGTAACCTGTAGCATCAGCAAAGTCTGGGGGATGACTTGCTGGAAAGCAGCTCTGCAGAGAACAGCCTGAGGGTCCTAGTGAGCAACTAGCTGAACATCCAGCATTGTGTCTTCTGGCAAGGAAGCACAAAATCATTCTGAGCTGCGTTAAGAAGAATGTTTCCAGCAAGTCTTATTCTCTGCTCAGCACTGGTGAGACATACCTGGAGCACTGGGTTGAAGTAAAGAACTCCCCAGTACAAGAGACATGGTCATATTGGAGAGTTCAAAGGAAGGCCATGACAATGATTATGCAGCTGGAGCATTTGACATATGAGGAAAGGCTGAGAGAGATGTTCAGCCTGGAGAAGAGAATGCTTAGTGGGATCTTATTCATCTGTAGGGATAGATGAATTTACATGACTAAAGAGGACAGAGCCAGACCCTTTTCAGTGGGACTCCCTGACAGGACAAGAGGCAATGGGCACAAACTAAAACACAGAAATCTTCATTTAAAAATGACAAAAAGGTGTTTTTTTTATGGTGAGAGTAGTTAAACACCAGAGAAAATTTTCCAGAGAGGCTGTGCATTCTTAATCACTGGAGATTTTAATAATTTGACTGGATATAGTCCTGAGCAAACTGCTCTAGCTGACCCTGCTCTGCAGGGGCTAGGACAGCAGACACTGGGAGATGCCTTCCAATGCTATGAGATTTTTAAGTTCTGTGATATTATATATATTAAAAAAAAAATCATACCTAAGGACAACTACTTCTTTCTCTCTACAACTAAAAGTTTTAAGTTTGGTAATTGACTTTCCAAAAATTGCTGGGTTTTTTTGATCTTGTCCCCTGAAATATGAGTAGAAAACAAATTACACAGCCACTACCTAGTGAAAGAATGAAAAGAACTTAATCCTTAATCTCTGGTAAAAAAAAAAAAAAAAAAAAAAAAAAAAAAAAAAAAAAAAAAAAAAAAAAAAAAAAAAAACAACCAAGAATACTCACTGAATTTTATTAAAAAGAATGAAAACAAGCATTCTTACTGTATTTCAATAAGATTGAAGATTTTGACCTTGGCCACATAGTACACTACAGTTTTGGTGCAAACTCAAGGAGATGATAGCTTTTTTTCTTGCATTTTTCAAGAACTATCAGAGAATGTTCACCTTTATATATGCCATTGTATCCTCCATGGACTTCTCCAGCAATAGAAATTTCTTCAACATGAGCCCCTTGGTCAGATGTAAAGTATACAAGAGTTTTGTCACTCAGATTGTGTTTTTCCAGCATATCCAGAACTTGTCCTAGGGAAAAAAAAAAAAAAAAAAAAAAAAAAAAATTTAAAAAAAAAAAAAAAAAAAAAAAAAAAAAAAAAAAAAAAAAAAAAAAAAAAAAAAAAAAAAAAAAAAAAAAAAAAAAAATTAAAAAAAAAAAAAAAAAGAAAAAAAAAAAGGACAACTTTAGTGTCTTTGAGTAGCTTTCTCATTAATCTTGGCACACATAAATATTTTTGTCCTTATGCCTTTTTGAGACCACTTTCCACATAAACTCTATTACACATAGCAATTGGCACCATGCAGCATACAGTAGGGGACAACTGCACAAGGATTGTTGCAATCAGGACCATGGTTCAATTGCTGCAGGGTTTCTTGAAGTACAAAATGAGAAGATTTGTGCACATCAGAGAAAAGGGCTGATCCACAGAGAGCCTGTGACCTTTTGAAGCAGTTGGTCTCAATCAAGGAAATCCCTTAGCAAGAAGATTCAAGCTGCTGAGGATATCTGAAAGAGTCTCAGCATGGAGAACAGAGCTCACAGTTTGGGGGTAAAGCCTTGCTGCCTAGCAACTACAGAGGCAGCATGGCAGAAATCTCAATGTGAGTGCTAAGACATTCTGGAAAAAAAAAAAAAAAGAAAGAAAAAAAGGAGGAGAATGTATGTAGTGCCTTTGGAGACCACATGATTTCATCACGAAACCTATTAATTAGTCCTTAATATCTCATAAGAAGATATCAACTAAACTCAAAATATGTTAGGTAATAAACACACACAGGTGCACCTATTTAAAAGAAGTATCCACATGGATAAGTTTTGTAACTCTAAGGGAACATGGGCTCATGTTTCATTTTCACAAAAGGCTCCTCACACTACCTTGGCAATGTGGAGAGCCTTGCAGTGTACATAAATTACATTGAAACCCATTTAGACTGAGTTCCTTAAAGGGTGTTTCTCTATGAATGAGAGTGAAGCTGCTACTTGTAACTTGCTCCAGTGAATTTTATACTGATTAAGAATCTAAAATTATTGGTCCTGGAAAATGACCAAAGCTTAAGAATATAATTCTTCACATCAACCTGGCAATGAGCTCTAACCTTGTCCTTTAGGGATCTCAGAACATATAAAGATAATTCTGTCTTCACAACCATTTTATCTTCACCCTTTTTACTTAAACATCCAAGAATGGTCCAATTTGAATGTTAATTTTAATTTTTTCACCTGTCCACTAAGAATTAATTCATCATCTGATGCCAAATTATTGTGTCAAAGAAGATGAGATAAGGACTTTTAAATGATTTTCAGACCATCATTTCAGTTGCTATGTTCTTTATCTGGATAAGGAGTAGTTAGTTTACCTTATTGCTACTATTTCTAGTTGACTTTTAACGTTATAGCATTCTAAAACTGCCTTGTTAAAAAGGTTGAGTGTCTTCATTTCTCATCAGCTCAGATGACTGGGTTGTGAATAAAGGAGCATCAGCAGTTAAATAAGGGATACCTATTCATCCTATATGTAAGCTAGGAAGAAGAAGCAAAGAAGAAATGTAAGAGTAGGAGAATTTGTTTATGTAAATTTTGAAGTCTCGTGGGAGTTGAAATTTCCCAACAGAAATGAGGAAAATCTGTTACAAAGGCTGACATTTTAAAGTTGGTGGGTTGAGGAAAATTCATGCAGATCCATCTTGCTGCATGAGGTGGACTAGTGCCAGAAAAGAGAGGCAATTTCCCATGGGCTTCTGAGATTCTTTGGAGAATGTACTTGCTAAATAATTACAATATCCCTTGGAAAGGTGGCAATGATGATAAAAAAGCAGAGTATAAACTAGGACATTATGTGTAGGTATTCAGCCACATGACCTCCAGAGTTCCCTTCCAACCTATATTGATCTATGAGTTTATGTTAGTATGGCAATAATAATAAATGCTATCGTGTAAAGAAATATATGTACAATGATGCACACAACAGCATTTTTTTACATATGCCATTTTCCTTGATGAAACTCAAATTTCAAATTCATCCATATCAAACAAAATTAAAATAAAGTGAGAATTTCATTCAGCATATCACATTAAATGATCTCTGGTGATCAGAGACATCGGCGATCATCCAATAATGGCCATTTCAATTCCCTAATTAATTTGGAAAAAAAAAGGGAAGTAATGAAAAATGTCTTGCTATCACAGATAATTAACCTAAAATTAAAAAATTAATATGAAATATGTAAGACATTATGATGACATTTCTACTTAATTTTTGTAACAAAGTTGAATAGTTTGACTTTCCCTGGAAAAAAAAAAAATCTGACATTCAAATGTTTCCCATTTTAAAAAAAATACACCCTGATAAAATGTATAGAAATTCTCATCTAAAACTCAGCAGTAAAACCTCCATTTTCTTCAAATGGAATTTTAAATCAAAGAAGATTGGTGACACCAGGGTTAATTACCGAATGCTAAAATGACAATTTATTTTAGTGCAACAATATTTTTCAGTACAGGTGGACTAATAGCTGTAATTCAAATAACATTATTGTCAGAGAATGGCAATCACAACGCACTCACAGAAATGAAGCAAAACTTCCATTTCTATTTTGATCTTGAACACTGACACCTTCAACTATAAATAAAGAGCAAAGTTTGCGCTGCCAGGAGACAAGACACATTTAAGTGCATTTGAATGAGGTTACTCCTGTTAACCTAAGCAATACATTCACTTTTTAGTATTTCTAAATGGTAACTAGTACAGAAAAATGAAAATAATGCCTTGTGGATCTCTATGAATAGACACCTTTTATTTGCAATATGAATTTTGGAAGCAAACATTACCATGAAGGAAAAACACAATCTTTACCATTTTCTTATAAAAATTTAATTTCTTTTTAAGTCTAACTCATCCACTCTCACTACTTCTGTATATTTCAGAGACTTTAGCATTAAGTTACAGTTGATGTATAAGCATTCCCAGGCAATGGCAGTCAACCTATTTTATCTGCCTTTGGAAGAGGTGAACTGCAAAAAGACCTTTTATACCTGTTGACTAAAAACAAAAGATAGGCAACTAACTCAAAACTAAATGCCTTCATATTAGACATCAAGGACAGCAAGATGAATTGTACCCAAAGCGCTAGACATGCAACTGAATGAGCAACACACTCTAATGAGTGTGGTGAACAGATAAATGATGTCTGTGTAAGAGATGATGGTAAAACTGTATTGCTTCACCCATAAAATATGATGGGAAGTATGTCATGTGCTCTTGAATTAGAAGAATGGGGCTTCAGCTGGTTGAAGTTCTATTGCTGGTTGCAGAGAGCAATACAAATTTTACTAGCATTTTTGGACGTAAAGAGTTTATACAGGATATGAAACTCTAGGATAGATAAGTCAAATCATCAGGAAAACCATTTGTTCAAGCAAAAACACATTGCTATCCCCAGAACAGGAAATTATCAATAAAAATGGAAAGAGTTTTGACTGGAAAAGCTCACTTGAAAGCCATGTTCTAAAAAATTAACAGCTGCATTGATCTCTGTGGATGGTACCATTTACATTTTTTCTGACTTAAACAGAACGTATTTAGAAAGTCAACATTTCTGAATATCAAAATCAGTCTAACTGAAGGAGCTGCATAATTTCTGAAGCTATTTAGCAACTAGAATTTCAGATCAAGTTCCTCCTACTATAGCCATTCTAGCAATGCACATCGCTATGTAGGTGATGACCATTGTAGCGGACAAAGGTATTTGACCATTGGACATTTTCCTTTCTTTTACATTTCTTTAAGACTAAGGACTGCATTAAGATGTTATTTGTTTTAATTAGTACATCAGTGTTCCAAAATTTAAGTAAAACTTCCCCACCATATACTGAGGACTGCTCTCTCTATTCTGCTCTCCATTCTTGCTTCAAGCTTTGTAAATTACAAATAATTATTTCATTTGGAATGTGAAAATGTCAATTTCAGTGAATTGATAGTCATGTGAAAGTGAGAAGAGCAAGTGACTCAGTTCTTTGGAAGGAAATACAGTGCCATGCCACTATTCAACTCCTGTAGCACAGCCTGAATAGTAGCTGAACCAGCTCCTCTAATGCTGAATGTAATTTCTGAGGTTTGAATTATGTAAAGTTCCTACTGTACTTATCTACATGAAGAGATAAGGTTTATAGAAAATGACTGTTCATTTGAAAACAAGGTACAAACATTGAAAAACAATAATGTATTTACAAACGTGTTAGTGATTTGGAAAATTGTTCAAAGTTTTAGTCAAGCAGGCATATGAACAAATGCATTTCATTAATAAATTACTCCACTGTCATTTCAAATCAATAGGAAAATACGTTATTTGTACTACTTTGAAATGATTTAGAGTATTGCTGAAACTATGAATAAAAAGCTATAGAAAACAGAATACCTCAGTGTAACCTAAGCAAAAGAACAAAATAGTCTCTCTGCTTGTGAGGAAAGCTTTAAAGCAGTTTTCCAGATGCAAAGGGAAAACAAGATTCAGAAGGAGGGTTAAGGAGCTGTCTGAGGAAAAGACAGTTGACAATAAATGAAATTCCTGTAAATGTAATGTTCCTTCTCCACTCCAGTAGACTTTCACATGCCACTCTTATCCAGAAACTTACAGCAAGCTTGAAATAACTATTGGACAAAGAGTCCAGTAGATCAGCTTGGGAAGATCAGCCACCACATCACTGCCTAGAATAGGCAGTTTTGTTGTTGTTGGAGCTTTATTCTTTTTATTTGCTGCTCAGAATTTGCTACTGCTGCTCATATTTGGTCTTGAATACCATCATTAACCAGAATCATAAGTAACTTGTAGTCGGCTCTAGGAGTTCACCTCTGTGAGTGGTAAGCCTTTGAATAAATGCATAAACTCCTCCAAGTTAATGCTACATGCACAAGAATCTGGAAACCCACTTTTCTCCCAGAAAATATATCATGCCATTCAACTATATACTCACTACATAGTAAACCTCTTGGGAGAACCTTCCTGCTACAGCAGTTTAAGGTAATGCCACA